TTGTACCATATATGATATTGTTACTACATGTCTGTCTCCGGTATTATTTATCACTAGACGATCCTCCCACGTTTGGCTGATACATACTTAGTACTACTAATACCATCTATATGATTTCTATTATTTAGATTACGACTATTAGTTAGGGGGAATAGCATTTTTGGTGAACCAACTTGTGTTAGTAACAAAAAAATTAATCAAAAAGCATTTCGTGCGTTAATAAAGCATTGGTTTTTGTGGTGAAAATATTGTTGAATTTGGGCTATGCACCAGTGAAATCGCCAGTGAATCTGCTTATTATGAAACGGTTCTCAAGCGTAGAAAGACAAAAAAATCGGCTAGCAAGGTTATGGGATCAGTCTTTTGGAATGCACGTGGTATATTATTCATGGAATGATTACTGAGCCAGTTTTAATTCATTGTACTGTGTATTTGGTTGCAGTTATATTCTACTATTCCCAGTATTTATCAATTTTATTATGTTTTAGGAAGGATCAGTTTAAAACTGTACGCATGTCCTTCATCGCTCCCGTTTAAATATTACATTGCTCTGTGCAATGCTTCGAAAATATTTGTGTATGTCTCAAATTACCAGACCATCATCAATACTCCAATTATTCGCAATGCCTTGACGACGAAAATGTCAACGCCATTTATTGTTGTGATATTAAATATATCTGACGAATTCGTCCTAAACAAACTGCCTGGTTCAGGAGCGAAATCAGTATATCTCATATTGTAAGCATGTATGGAATTATGCAAAGTTTTACTTATTTCTTTCTATTTTTGAGTTACTAAAATTTTCAAATGATGCTGCATGAATTTCGACCAAATGCTTTGATTTGAAATATAATTTTTGTATTTAAGAATTGTATTGAATTTTAACATAAAGAGATAAAATATATCCTATGTCCTTACCCTGGATCTAAGCTACCTCCCCACCAATTTTCAGCCAAATCGGTTCAGCCGTTCTTGAGTTATAAATGGTGTAACTCACACAACTTTCTTTTATATACTATATAGATTTAGCTAAGCTGCAACACACTGATAAGGGCGGCAGTTATAGCGTGAATAATAACAAAAAATAAAAAAAATAAAAAGCATTTATTAAAAAATTAATATTTGTTAAAATAAGAATAAATAATAAGATCAGGGAAGATAGCGATAGCTGTTGCTGCAACTGCTCTAAAGGATAGAAAAACTGCTCACTCATCTTTAAATTTTCGATATCCATAAATTTTGAACAACAAGCAATATGTTCTATCCGCAAAAATGATCCTCTAGGTTAACTATTGTAAGATGCCCCATTGATTATGTGGAATGAATGCACCAAGAGCCATGAAGCACATACTTGTAGAGGCCGTGAACATTAAAAGATCTTAGAAACTCCTTTGCTGTCAGGGGTGGGATAATTTTTGTATTTGCTGGAAATTTCCGACAGGCACATCCTGTCATCTACGGAGGTATGCGAGTAGATATCATCAAAGCATGTTTAATATCGTCGCCCTTACTTCGACTCCGGACTTCTATTGAAAATATATAATTACGGACGAATATGAGATCGCACCTTAATGGAATCAATGAAGGTGATTTTCCACAGCTTATGCTTGGGAAAGGATAGACACAGTGACTAAGACGAAGACGCAGTCCATTACTCTGCTGGACTCCCATGTATTGACTTTAAAATTGGATTTCCCATTATGCTTTAAAGGAATTTAAGTCCTCCAAGCATGTGCAACGCGACAAGACTGCTTATTAAGGAATTGAAGGACAATTTAATTGTATCAACCATTATCATGTACATATGTAGAAAATTATATGGAAGAAATATATTGAAAACGTTTTTTCGGATGGCAGTACATTGAACCAGAACCTTCATCTCCATGACAGACCAACTGGCAATTATATTACGAAAGAAGAAATAGAGAGAGCTATACAATCAAAGAAAAATTACAAAGGAACAGGTCCGGCTGAGGTTCCAGCTGACATTTGAAAGTTAATAAATGACAAAAATATGACTCTCTTAATAAAGCCAGCCAAGTTGATGACAATGGCCAATATCCAAAAGACTGGTTGAAATCAACATTCATATTCATAATGCGAAACATTGAAGTGAATACAGATTAATTAGTCTAATGTCACATGCTCTCAAGATATTTCTAAAAGTCATTCACCCCAGAATATATAGGAAATGTGAAGAGTCGCAATTTGGCTTCAGAGAAGGTCTTGGAACACGCGAGGCAATGTTCTGTATACAAGTTTTGGTTCAAAACTGTAAAAATGTCAAAAATATGTATTTTTATGCTTTATTGATTATGAGAAAGCTTTCCACACGATTAACACGATAAACTTGTGGAATAGACGACAAAGAGATTCGTTGCATAAGAAATCTATATCGGCAACAAACTGCCCATGTAAGCATCAATTGTGATATAACAAGAGAAATATCTATTTCATGAGGTGTAAGACAAGGATGCATTTTGTCTGTTAATTAACATATATTCCGAAGTAATATGTAAAATTTCATCAATAATATAGATGACACTACACTTACAGCCGATAGCTTAATGCAAATACAAAATAATACAAAAACATATTATATAGCCATGACCTCAACATCACAACCAAAATACGTTTTTTAAAATACTATGTTTGGTCAATGCTTCTCTATGCGATGGAAGCCTGGACTCTAAACATCACAAATATGAACAAGCTAGGGTCCTTCGAGCTATGGCTTATTAGAAGAATCCTAAAAATCCCATGGGCATATAAAGTCACAAACAGTGAAGTTTAGAGAAGAGTGAATCGCAATAGAGAGTTGTTAAAGACTATAAAACAAAAGAAAGCAGCCTATCTAGGACATATTATGAGGCACTCTAAGTATGGGCTCCTACAAATAATTATCCAACCAAAAATTTAAGGAAAACGGGGTATTTTCCGTAAACAACTTTCGTGGCTTAGAAACATTCCTTATAGATGTGGCGAGAGATAGAGAGAAATATTCTGCGATAATTAAAAATCTGTGATTTTTTTTTATATATACATTAGATATATTTAACATGTAAACATTATTATATTATTTTTAAGCTTATTAATATTATACATATTATTATATGTTATATGATCACCAATATTCAAATACGAATTGGCAAATAAAGAAGAAGAAGAACCATTACCTCCGGCYCAGCAGCTGGTCAACTTGCTCACTTACCGAGGATTCCGTTGATCCCAAATGATCTGCCACTCCCATTTAAACGTCTTCAATTTCCTGCGAAAACATATTTCGCTCTATTTGTAAGCAAGTCCCAACGCCAGACTTTCGAATTGGTAGGGATTGACCTACCAAAAGAATGTTTTACTCATGACCAACTGAATGTTGGTTTATCGCAGGCCGGAGGTCCTGAAAATCAATTTATATTGCTGCCATAAAATAAATTAACACCAACTATCGTTTAGAGGGAAGTTTTGATTTAATAAATTATTATGCAGGAGCAAGAAAAGTAAAATATATAGTAACGGCCTTTAAACAAATATTAAAAAAATAATAATAATCAAAAAATATACTTTTATTTAAATTTCTTTCATTTTTAATGACGCAAAACCGACAAAGTATGTATGGGAGAGTGTCTACAAAATTATAACTTTTTAAATGATTGTTTCATCAGAGAACTTAGAGCATAGAGAAGGTGCAGGTTCGACAGAGAACATTTGTTAGAATTGTAGTAAGGAATTCACCTCAACCACAGAATTCTCGCTGTGAAATGTTAACATTTTTAACAGTTCTCCACATACTCAAACAGAGAGTATGAAGAGAAATAAATATTATATATGGATGTATGCATGCCCATGATTTCACTCCCAATGAATGGAAAGAATTTCGTTTTCCATGCTTAAATTTTTGCTTTCAACTTGGGAATCGCAATGTATGCAAATATGTATGCTTTTGCGTTTTGCCGTCGGCATTTCCATATTGGCATGTAAAAATAATTATGATATGAGTATAATTTTTTATGAATGCATGCTTAGTAATATTTATAGTCAACGAGCAAACCCGGCAAACTCCGTTTCCCACCAGATGGCTTCGTTTTATATAACATTTCGTTTGGCGATTAAAACTCCGTTCCCCACCAGATGGCTTCGTTTTATATAACATTTCGTTTGGCGATTAAAAGGTGAAGAAAAAATTTTTTTTTGTTTTATATTTGAAAAGGAAAAATTATATTTCATTTGACAACAGTAATGAAGTCATTTCGATTACAAAAATTAAGTTTATTTATTTGAACTTCTCTAAGTAAATGAAAGTGATTCCAAAGTAAATACTGAATCGAAGCGTGTCTGCAAATTATCCGTTTCATTGAAGTGCTCATTAGTAAACCACATTTTTTGTTTTTTGGTCTGACGTTAACACAAACAAAGCGGGTGGTTTCCCAACTCGTGAACACGCAACGTATAACAGCCCATGTGGAAAATAAATGAATTGGTTTTGAAGGAAAACATGTGGTGATGATAATTACGAACAGCGTTCGTGTTTGGTACGCATTTGATGAAACAACTGAATCCGCAAGTGTTAAATGTCTAAATTGGTGACATGCTTCTGGATATGTTTGGCATTGGTGGCCATTCACAGTTCTCAAATGAATTTGGCCCACGTATATTTACCAACAGCAGTCGCAAATAAAAACATTCATCATTTCTAGGATGAACAGTATACATGCGACCTAGTGAATCAATGGAAAACACCTGCGGCCAATCTGGAACTGGGGTTCCTTGTTTGCGACGTTCTAATTTCTTTGTTGATTTAATGTACCTCACGGTCCATGCACCATCTATGTCGTCACAATGTCGTGTAGATGGGGATCAGGAATTTAAGCTGTTATGATGTCAGCCACTTCATTTGAATGTAATTTGTTCAGCAACCAAATTAGGATATGAGCATGCGGTAGTCCRCGCTTCTGCCATTCCGCCGAGTACATATAATATGTGTCACCAAAACTCGATACTTAGTAAACACATCCATCATAGCCTTGAGTTTATGCTGAAATACTCAGGCGATTATGTCATGGCGATCTTTCGGTTTTTTGCTCAGTTCCAACTCACGTTCAATAATATAAGATAATGGGCGAATCGTCAGACGTCCAATACTCTGAACATCACCATCTGAATGAATAGCATCACGCAAGTGTATATAGTCCTCAGATCGTAGATTTGCCTGATTGAATCGGATGAACGCTAAGCGTTCGGTCTCGACTTTGACATACATGTCGACAGCGAATTGCTGGAATAGCCGACGGCACTTCAGAATGACATTCCACTCATTTGCAAGAATCATCAAACGATACGCATAGTAATTCATTGCACTTAAATTTTTATTCGTTGATACGCCTGAAAATGCAAAATTAAGTGAATTGTTAATGGAAACCAATAATAGTAATAACTAGTGTGTGAATATTGTACCTGTAATTGGATCGACCATCTTCAACGTGATGTCGTATCCGTCTTGCTCTTGCTAATAAATAATTGGATAAAACAAACGATGTGTCTCGTTTACACGATGCATGATATTGCTTCTTCGCTGAACGACAATGTCTCSCGATTTAGTTGGATCGCCAACAATAATTGCAGCAACATCATTAACGGTGGGTGCATTGAATCTTCGCACATGTTCACTTGTTGGAGTACAATCCGCTCTTATGACAAATTTGCGCGTAACCGATGGCATTCGTTCCAATGTTGTTTTGAACATATTAACGACAGCATTATTAGCATGACAAAATGYTTGCAACTGTTCAATAATTCGTCTCTTTAACTGTTGTGTTCCCTGTATATCACATCGCACATTCAGCTGATCCACCATCGACGAAATGAAGTATATTTGTAAAAATTGATGCGGTTCATCCGGTGTTGGCACCATGGAACCATGGAAATGATATATGTGTCCTTATATCTGTAATTGCAAACTATCATTTGTTGAAGAATACGGTGTAACTTCTGATCGTGTGATGGTGTAATGTGTGGTGCATATGTAGTTGTTATGTGTTGCAATTCATTGTGTTGGTGTGAGTGATTGGTTATGTGTATTGTATCTTTTACCTTGCAAGTCGACACGAAGTAGCCTTTTCGAATGATATTAGCTCCAAAGGAAGTCATGCGAAAGCAGTTATTGTATTCAAGGATGTGTTGAAGAAAATGGCTGGAATCGGATCACTTCCATCGAACAATGGTTTCAGTGGCTGTGGTGGTGTAAGTAATGGATCCAGTTTGTCTTTTCCRCTTGCGCACCACAGTTCAACCGTTTTTCTTTTGAGCGGCGTTCTTCTTTCGCGGCGGCCGGTGTTCGTACGTCGTCCTCTARGCATCTTGGACTATGGACAGAGTGGTGAATTTAACCTAAAATGCACGATCCACATAATTTACACAGTTCAACTTACCACCAAATGCCTGCTGTTGAAATTGAATAAAAATTTTCACAGTACACGTGTTTGATGTGTGTTTCCCATTTGAAATGTTAGAAAACGAATAAATAATTTTTGTTTTAATTTTTTTCACAATTTCACAGGGAACRCAATACCGGTTTGTCACATGAAATTAACTGAACAGAGAACAATGAGTAGCTGTCAAACAATGTTCAGAGAACGTATAATATAGAGAAGATTCAATTGCGGACAGGCGTGTGAACTGTCAAGAGCTAACAAAATCCTATTAGTGGATTTCACCACTTTTAGCTCGGTAGGAAAAATTTTAACAGAGATGAGTGAACCGAGCTGAGCATTGAATGAAAATTATGCTCTGAAATATACATATATTGCTATTACAGATGTATGTTGCTTTTTGCTTATATTTTTATACGTTTACATGCATCATATCAATTGATTTGAATATCATTTTGCGAATTTGTGTGAATTCATACAAAATTGATAACACTATTATTAAATTATGCTACTTTCATGGTAATATTTGTAGTTAATGTCCAAATAAAAGCTACTTTTTAAATATTTCTTTTCATTGATAATATTATATAATTTCGAATGCATGTATGTATATTACGTATATTGTATACATGAAATATTATCGTAATATCTTAAAAGCATAATATATTACAATAGTAATATATGTAAATCACACCTCTTATCATTTAAAACTTTCATACACATCTATCCAGCAGATATGTACACTGCCGACCAACTGAATAGGTTCATATAAATTCGCTTGCATTTTCATGATTTTTTCATTACATATTGATCGTAAGCATGTTTTTTTTTT